ATAAATTAATTTTTAGAAAATTTATGATGCTAGATGAAGTGATAAACCGATTCGGATATGTGTACGGTTCGCATATTATTGCGGTAATTAAAAAGTAACTTACCGCTGTTAAGGAATGATGAGGATGAAGAAGTGATACATTCGAAGTATGGGTCACTGAATCGTCGATAGACTAATTGTGGAGCAGCAGGGGGAAGAGTCGATGGAGGGGCCGCATTGACAGAGGGTGGTTTTGGCTGTTGCAGTAGTGTGTTGGTGTTGGAAGTAACGGCTGCAGTAAGTAAGGGGATTGCTTGTGGTTGTTGTTGTGGCTTGTGGTTAATGAGACGTTTTTGATTTGCAGTGGTGCAGTTAGCGCATGAATATGGATGGAAGAGGAGATTTGGACGGATGGATGTGTGAGGCGTTGCTGCTGCTGCCGGTGCTGATATAGAAGAGGGAAAGAGCAAATCCACAGAGGATGGACGTCGTTTCGAAAGGTGTGTCACCGCTACTTTATTCAGACTGCTGATAGTGTTATTCGCTAGAGAGGTGGCGGATGGCGGTTCGGATTGAGATACAGCAGTGCACGATTGCTGCTGTTTGTTTGGTGACTGTGTGGGTGACGACGACTTGTTGTTGTTGTTATTGTTTGATGAAGGCGATACCACCANGTTGATTGCTGGTGCTGAGATGGTGAGGTGAGACTGTTGGGTCGTGGTCGTCTGTGTGCTGGCAAGATCTTGAATGTCGTTGATTGTAAAACCCATAAAAGCAATGTCATTCTCGTCTTCACTTCCTGCACTTAGCTCATCTGGACCAGGTGTATTCATAGCCAGCCAGGCAGCCAACCAGCTGTCTTCTAAATGCCACTCGTAATATTCGTTCGTTTGATCAATCGGTCGATAAGTCGATAAGTTGAACGGTTAATCAATGTTATTTTTGCATTGAATTCGCTTTATGATAAACAGTTGACACTTACACTAAAATGAGATCAGATCAGATCAGAGTAGAGTAGGTCAGTCGTCACACACACACGCATTGGATTAGTAGTGCCTAGAGTGAAACGCGGCAGATATTTAAGTTTGATTATATCATAAGCTTTTACGCTTGTTTATTTGTAGCTCTAGTACACAGATAACTGCAACTGATATCATCGTAGTTAAAGCAGCAGTAATAAACCGTTGACTGCAGTAGTACTGTTGCTTGCTTGCTGGATAATTCAGCATCGAACTTACTATTTGAATCAGCTAATATCTTACGACTAACTATTATAGTCGTGATTATAGAGGTCATCTCTAAGATTACTTATCGTCATAGTGACATCAATAATAGTAAAACATCAATAATAATAATAATATAATAATAATAATAATGATAAAATAATGCTTCATTTCGTATAACAACATTCAGAAGAAATGTTTTTGACATGAAAACACAACAAAACAGTTAGTTAGTTGGGCGGTGCTCTAGTGAGCAGTTCGAGTGAGTGGAGAGCAGATGAAATTTTTATTTAAGATTTAAGCAGCACTGACACATGTACTGGATAAGTAAATATTGAATTAAGTGAGGAGCGAGCTAGCGACCGAAGTGGTCAAGATGATATTTTGAATTTTGAATAATCATCAGTCGCTTATGGCTTATGGCTTAGCAGCTTGCTTACTCTGGCGATGATCAGATTGAATTTAGATGACTGCTCTGTGCTTGCTTGTTCTAATCATGTTGCTTGGTAATTAAGTATGAATTTAAGTTGTTGCTGTTGAGTGAGCAGCACTAGCATCTCAAGCAGTGCTCGTGAACCAGACTACTTCTCTTATCTCATCTCATCGCATCTAGTTTTAACTGTCTGTTCGTTCGTTCATCACCTTTTCGTGTTACTATTAATATTGCCGTCAAAACCACTTGCACACTGCTTAATGCATGATGCTGCTGCATATGTCCGAACATCGTGTCATTACATCTTTAATAGTATTACTGTTAGCAGTTAGCAGTTTCGATTAGCAATAAATCAAATCAGATATGATAGCTACAAAACAGTACCGGACTGTATGGAACCGATTCGGTAGATTCGTGTGATTTAAATTCGTTTACATCGTATACACATAAACTGAGCAGGTGAATTCGTAATGCATGTGTTGCTGCTTCATAATCATTCTAGAGTTGCTGCTGCACGATGAGGACAGTAATCTGAAGGTCATTGGATCATTCTAGATCTGAGTGTGCAAGTTATTCTAGTGTGAGGAGACTCAAGCCAGACGGATAAAATAAGATCGATGCTGTGGTTTGTCTATCGTGTTTGAGTAAGAGGTTCAAGAACCAATTTAGTATGGGCTAACTAAGAATCGATCAGTTTTTATGTGAAGGTGATAATCTAGTCGATTATGATTAGATCGTGTGTGTGTGGCTATGGTGATGCATTTGAGGTGCTGAGCTGAGTTGAGGTGAGGTGAGGTGAGGTGAGGTGAGGCTCTGTTCTTTGATCACGAACTATTTGCTATTGATAAACACTTGATTATTCAGTTGTCCTTTTTACTAGCTACGAACGAGCGATTGATTCATTCATAATGGTGATTTGACAATAACAGTAATAGAGCTAATCCAATAGCAGTGATTTTGTGCGGTAACACAGAATAAATGACGACTCTTGACTTTATTCACTAACAAACACATAAGGTTGCATATATAGCATTAATGAGTGAATAATAACTGAATGAATGTTGCTGCATAGAGTAGGAATTGTTTGCGTGCTGGTAACAACGTCAGAAGATGCTGGCTGACTTGGAGCATCAGATAAGATCAGATCAGATCAGATCGTCTAGTAAGAGAAGCCACGTTTCTGCATCCATTCGTCGTCAACAAACTTCGTCCTGGAAGTTAATGATCAAGTGATCGGACGATTGGATTCAGAGGAATGAACTAACGTACATGTAGTTTCTGATTCCGTCGGGTAGAATCACAACGCATTCACTGTCCTCGCTGAGCGCTTTGGCTGCTCTCATGGCTGCCGAAACGTTCGCACCCGAACTGCCTCCGCACAGCAGACCTTCTTCGCGAATCAGACGTCTGGCCATCTCGAACGACTCTTTATCAGTGCTCTTGATCCATTCATCTACCATATCCCGATCCAAAACCGTCGGCACAAAATCGTATCCGACACCTTCCACCTGCATTCAGTTGTTTGATGAATTGCACGCGGCGTACAATTTGCTGTTAATTATGAAAGAATTGAATTGATTAGGCAGGCAGGCAGGCACCTCGTAGAATGAAGTTTCTTTTTGTGTAGGATCAGCCAGTATTGAGCCTTCTGGATCCACGCCGACAATCTGAACAGCGATATAATTTGTAGAGAAAATTACAAACGGATGGCTGGCTAATCGATGATTAATTATAACTAATTAAGGTAGTTAATTAGAGTTTAAGGTAACTATTAATTAAGGTAATTAACTAAGACGGTAATTAAGCAATTCTTGGGGAAGCTTTGTCGAGCCGACCTTGCATTGTGGACAAATTTCTTTGACCTTCTTCGAGATTCCACACGCCGTTCCACCGGTGCCCGTGCCCACGACCACCATATCAACCTTATCGTCTAACGCATACAGTATCTCTTCAGCTGTGCCATCGTAGTGAGCCAGCGGATTACCCATATTAACATACTGCAAAACAATTGCTACTCTCTAGCATATGGATGATATATATGGAGTGCGCTAGCCTTCTCGAATGGATTATGCGTTGTTTTGCATGATATTATATGGTTTAGATTGAGGTAATTACTTGGTCAAGTATAATTGCTCCTTGGATTTGTTCTCGTAATCGGATCGCAACACCGATGTGCGAATCGGGACTGTTGAATGCGGCATGCGTTGGCGTTCGTACCACCTCGGCGCCGAGTAATTGCAGCGTATCAGCCTGTAGTTTAGTGATTTCAACTTAAAACTTATCGAATCGAAAACGAACTTAACGCGTTGAAGAGCCAAGCAACCTTCTCTTTGCTCATTTTTGCCGGCATGACAATGATGCAACGATAGCCCTTCACTGCAGCCACCAACGCCAGTCCAATACCCGTATTACCGGACGTTGGCTCAATAATGGTCATTCCAGGCTTTAGAAGACCCTGTTGCTCGGCCAGTTCGACCATACGTAACGCTATACGGTCTTTAATCGATCCGCCCGCATTCAGAAATTCACATTTAGCATCTGAATCAAATTGATCTGATAGAAGTATTTGTCATTAAGCGTTTACATTGCTAGTCATTTGAGGGCAAAGTGATTACATTAGTGATGAGTAATGTAATGATTAACTTACAAACTTTGCATTTGACACCAAATGATTGTGGTATTCTGTTGAGTCGTACCAATGGGGTATTACCAATCGCTTGAAGCACTGAATCGAGAAGCATCGGCCGTCGAAATGGTTTAAGCCGAGCCATTGCATTGGTTTCGCCTGCGGCCCGATTTGGTGCACCTCTAAAATGATTGCTGTTAGAGCATATAAGTTAAGTTAACAGTTATCAACGAAGAGCAAGACTGACGGCCATGGTCTGAACGCGATTGGGCATTCATTTTGCTCGGGATGTAGCGTGCTCCAGTGACATTTGACCACTTTGTCGGGACGATATTTGAGACCATCTTTAAAGGGGTGATCCCTGAAAGGATGGTGGATTACATTGCTGACTAGAGAATTGTAGTGTGCTCGCTTTGGAGTGGATGCATTCGCATGCTTTGATGTCATAAGCCTAAGCCTCTGAAATAAGAGAAAATGAAGTTGTTACTCTTCTGGTTGAACGGGTTGTCTAACCACTGCTTCCATGAAGTGACGTTCTAGCATCCAGTTGTCATCAACGAATTTAGACCTTAATTGATTGATCATCACTTAAAACCTAGACCGTTGATTGGTGTTGTTGAGTTTATTTAAAGAAAGCAATCAGTAGTGTGTGGTGCGTTATGATAGATTTTATGATGAAAATAGCCAACCACCAAAAGTATGAAAGTAAATTTTTGAAAAATCCATATGAGGCACGGATATCGTTAAAATTGAACGGACAGGTTTATAATAAGGAGTAGCAGTAGCAGTAGTACATACATATAGTTTCGAATACCGTCCGGAAGAATAACGACACAGTTTTGACCTTTCTTCAACTCTTTGCAAACTTGCATAGCGGCAACCATGGCCGATCCGGAACTGCCGCCGCACAGAATACCTTCTTCGCGAATCAAGCGTCTGGCCATCCTTGAAACATTAAATGTGTTTGTTGAGCATTATCGGAAGGTGAAGGCGATAAGTTGAGTTGCAGTAATTTGCCATAATGAATTGTTGACGTTTCAACCTGAATGCCTCTCCATCGGATGTTTTGACCCACTTATCGATGTGTGAAAATTCGAGTACTGCTGGTATGAAATCATAGCCAATGCCTTCGACTTCGTAGAAATCAGCTTGTTCATTAGTTGGATCAGCCAAGATTGATCCATGTGGATCGACAGCAATCACCTTTAAGACAGCAGCAATCATTGAGTGACTGATCATTTGTGCTTTATTTAAAGTAATAGGTTTGCATTACTACTGAATAAGACTGAGTCTAGTAGCTATTATGTTATAAGACATTATCACCTTAGCATTTGGGCATTCCTCTTTGATACGACGTCCAGCCCCAGTGACTGTACCTCCAGTGCCTGCTCCAATCACTACCATGTCCACTTTTTTATCAAGAGCCATCAAAATCTCAGCAGCGGTGCCTTCATAATGAGCGATTGGATTACCCGGGTTCAAATACTGTAACAATAGGTTTGCTTCAAATAATACTGCTAATCGTAGTAGTGCTAATCACATAATACTAATCATTATGACAGCAATGATCATATTGGCATCTAAATGAGAAAGGCAGTAATGTATCATGTATGGAGTACCTGATCAAGCACGACCGCTTGCTTTGGCATTTCTTTTTGTAGACGAAATGCCGTACTGATGTGTGATTCAGGACTTGCATAGTCGGCATCTGTTGGCGTACGTATGATTTCGGCTCCGAGAGCGCGTAGTGTTACTTCCTTGAAAAGTTGTTTTTTGGTTAATCTTGCTTTGTTAGTTTCGTGTTAGCATTAGCGATTAAAGGAGTTGAATACGCTCAGACAAGCGATTATGTGAAGAA